TAATGTATTTTGTTGACACCAACGGAAAACCTTTAGATTCAGGCTCACAAAAACTCTTCGAGCGAAATAGCCTTCCAAGTCTTGGGTCCCTTGCTCTAGGCAAACCTAAGGCCATAAAATATATAAACTACTACCACATAGCTCTACCTATTATAGAAGGACAACAGGAGGATCCTACAATGACCTTAAACCAAATATCAATCATCGTAAATAACCTACACGATATCATTCAAGATTTAAAATTAGAAACAATTAGTATTGCAAAAACGGAAACAATTAATAACGTACCATGGAATAATATTAAATCACAACTTCTGTCAACATTTGTTAATATACCCGTTAAATTGATTATATGTAATGGATTAGTCAAATATCCACCTAAAGATTTACGAACTGTCATTATTGGAGAGGTGCACTGCTTACTCACAGGAGGACACCGTGGCGTTACAAAAACTTACAACAGAATAAAGCATAACTATTATTGGGAGAACTTGAAAGCCGACGTTCAAAGATACATCCAGCAATGTTTACAATGTCAACTCAAAAAACTCGTTAGAGTCAAAACTAAACAGCCTATGATAATTACAGACACACCAGGATCTTTCTTCGACAAGGTCGCTATGGATATCGTAGGACCATTACCGAAAACCGAGAGAGGCAACGAATATATTTTAACGCTACAGGATCAATTAACGAAATATTGTATGGGAATACCGCTACCGAATCAGACTTCCGAGACCATCGCGGAAGCTTTCGTAGATCGATTCATTTGTGTGCTCGGAGCACCAAAAGCAATATTAATGGATCAAGGACAAAACTTTATTAGCGAATTACTAAAAAGGATTGCTAAACTATTCAAAATTCGCAAGTTTCGAACAACAGCTTTCCATCTTCAATCAAACGGATCTTTGGAGAAATCTCACCATGCATTAGGAGAATATTTAAAACAATATGCGAACGAACAAAAACAGTGGGACTGATGGATTGGTCTCACAATGTTCAATTATAACACACTAGCGTACATGAAGCAACTAAACATATTCCATACGAATTAGTTTTTGGCAAAATAGCAAGAATTCCATCCAACGAACCTCTTACTTCAAAAGATAAACTAGCAAGCTACGACGAATACTTAGTAAATCTCGTTACACAACTTCACGCTATTCAGGGAAATGCTCGCGATAATGTTATCCAAGCAAAAACTAAATCAAAAGATCATTATGACAAGAAAATAAATCCACAGACTTTTAAGCCTGGAGACCAAGTATTTTTATTAAAAGGTCCTAAACCTGGTAAATTCGGAGATCAATATACCGGACCGCACGAGGTTTTAGAACTTCTTAACAAAAATAATATAAGAATTAAGATAAAGAAAAATAGTCGAATAGTACATCCTAATCGCTTACGAATTTCACACATCAAGCCATCGAAACGAACTTCTTAACACGAGGACGTTTAGACGTAACAATAGTCAAGGTGGAGTCACCGCTCCTCTTCTGCGTTCAACTGAGAAACGGCGAGAAGGATTTAAAAGAATTAGAGGAAGAATTAGAGTTCAGGATGGTCAGGAAAGCCACCTATCTACACATCTGGCCCGAAGATTTTAAAGAAAACATGGCCGTCGCAATAAAGGATTGTAAAGCCTGGCGGCGGGGCATTATAAAAAGAATTAATAGGACGAACTGGATGGTCAAAATCAGCCTAGGGGACTGGGGCCAATCAATCTGGAGGCGTATGTGCGATGTCTACCTCCTGGAGGACAGATTCAAGGAGTTACCTTGGCAAACTATAACCTGTGGTTTAGCCTACACCGGTCCTGTCCAGAACGCCCGAGCCTGGCCCAAAGAAACCAAGGATCTCTGCCGACTACTTCTCGAAGGACGAAAAGGATGGATCCATATAGTCCGCCCCCTCAATGAAGAGACGGCGCTGGTTAAATTAAACGTAGAAGGCATACCTGCGACCACTTCATATTCTCTTCGCGACGCACTTATTTTATTAGGTCACGCTCAACTTAGTACTAGTGTAACCGTAAATGTAATTCCAACAGTATAAAAACGATGGAACATACATTATTATTCCATACATTATTAAGCATTATTTCATATTATTAGTTATTATCTTACGTATATACTCTATATAATCATTCTTATGTTAGTCGAAAAAAAAAAAAAAAAAAAATTGTATTTACTCGAGCAGAACATTTATATTCAACAGAAAAAAAAATGATTATATATATATACAAACATAAATACATACTATACAAAAATTATAAAAATTAGAATATAAATATTACATAAGACTGATATTCTTTTCTTTTAGCACTCTAAGGAGCGCGAAAGTGGAACCGCTTTTCTCTCATTAATGAATATCGCTTGATCATCAGGAAAGCTAGTTATTACCCCCCCTTTTTTTTCTTCGCCCCCCCCCCCCAAATGCAATTCCTTGACGGGCGAAAAACAAATCACAATGATTATAGCAACCTAGTTGAACTCCGATGCGTCACCATAACAAGAGACGACGTTTTTCAAGATGTCATCAATTATCATAAGGTTTGCAAGGAATGCCTTGTGGCAATACCACCGGACGACAGACAACAGTACATGTTAATACCACCACATAGTTTGGTCCATAAAAGCTCAGCCGACCATCAAACAACTTGTACGATCTGTAGCATCATAATATTACGAGTCAGCTCCGCATGCCTGTACTGCCTGGAAGAATATCTATACGTTGACATGACGTACTGACGTACTTAGTCAAAGGATGGGAACGCCCTGTGACCACCAGATGGGTAAAAGAATAAGTGTGCGTTCGAAAATATGTTTGGTTAGTGTTGGGAAAAAAGATAAAGTTGGCAGTATTGAAAACTCCCAGTGCTGCGTTTCGTTTCTTCCACTGGGATCACTAGGATCACTGGGATTTAAAAAATTTGCTACTTAAGATATTAAAAGAGGTAAATAACTTAAATACTTATATACTTATATACTTAAATACTTATATACTTAAATATATTTTATAATAATATATTTTATTTGTATACATATATAAATAGGTATATACGCTATAGTTATTATAATTAATGTAATCATAATTGAATACGAATCTGTTCTAACCTTTACTTCTCTTTCTCTCTTTTTCATAAATTATTGCTTTTTACATTTAAATATAACATAATTGTATAACATTACAGATCATTCCTCTTATTATTACTATTGTTAAACATATCTTTAAAAAATGAATGAATCTCTACAGTTAATTAAGAAACACAACATTTGTCAATTGAAGTTATTTGATGAAACAACTAATATAGAATATAAAATAGAAGTTAATGAAGATGATTATAATCGTGCTTATACAGGTGTGTACATTTCAATAATAAATAGTTAACTATTTTGTGACATAACTAAATAAATTTAATAACATTTTTTTACATAATTCCTTTTCTTAATTATATAGTATAATTATTATGCATTGTTTAAAACTATTAATATATATTATGTTATTTCTTTATATATAGATATTACATTTGCTAATGCTTTGCTACAAAAAGCAAAACATACAGTTTTAATTAACAAACATAATTTGAGCACAATTGATAAACTCAGTTGTTCGAAAACAAATGAAGAAAATATAAATACTAGCATACAACTTGACGATTCATTGTCAGATACTGATACTGATCAAAAAGAAACAAACAACAATGCTTCAGATATTGAGAATGAAATAAACATGTTAAATATAGGTATGTTAAAATTATTATACAATTGCAGAAAACTAGCAAGATTTATTAAATAATTAAATTTATTAAATTTATTTTTTTCTTTTTAGAACCAACTGATAAGTGGACACATAATGCTACACTTTTGTTGATCTCATTATATAAAGAAAAGTCGCATATGTTGGGTAAAGGACCTCATAAGAAAATGTGGAATCTAATTTCTCAACGCATGAAGGAAAAACAATATAATTTTACAGTCACGCAATGTTATAATAAAATGGACACTTTAAAACGACGATATCGTTAAGTTATCGATCACAATGCTCAAAGTGGAAATGATAGAAAAGAATGGATATATTTAGAGGTACTAAATTATAACAAAAAAAATATTCAGAATTATAACAATTGTTTAGTTTTGCTACTAATAATGAAAATTTTTATAATTAAATAAAATATAAATAATAAATCATAACTTTTTCTCTTAAAATATGTATATTTTAGTCATTGATGAAGTCAGATGAAGTTTTTTCCAATAAAACATGGGTAAAACCAATATCTGTAGCGGGATCAAATATCCGAGAACCTGAAAAGTCATTATTCGATGACAATGAATCATCAAACAGTTACTAAAACAGTTACTCAAACAGTAACTAAAAAAGTATATTTTATTGTTTGTTGTTGTTATTTAGATTTATAATTAACAATATTTTTTTTAGAACGACAGAAAATCTCATTACACGAAGAAAGAGCAAATTATTTGCGAACATCACTGGAAGAAAAACGTTTAAAACGAGAAGACACTGCTAATTATAGAGCAGAAAAAATAAAAATTTTAAAAGATTTAAAAGAAATTTTTCAAACAAGAAAGTGATATAAACATTATTTGATGCAGTCTTAGCAGAATGACTAACTAGTAATTTTTAAACAATGTTTTGCGCTCTAAATCTCTTGTGACACAATAACTGTTTAATGTCTCAAGTTTTAAATCCAAATTCATAATTGTTTTCAAATCTTAAGATTTAAAAATTTCTTAAAGATCATATTCAACCAATGCAATTGTCGCATATTGAGATTTTAAAAACGACTATAAATTCGGACCTAAATGTATATACGAAGATTGTCTTTGTGTATACAAGTGTATATAAGTCACATATTCATTTAAGAGTTTTAAGAAAAAAAAAGTACAAATTAAAACTATAAGGCCCGGTTCCACAACTCGAGTTAATCTGAGTTTAATATGTTAAATTGAGTCCTGATTGGTCCATTCATTAAACTCGGATTAACTGGATTGTGGAACTGGGCCTAAGTAAGTTTACAAAACTGCATAAGTCTCAGATTGTGATATTATTAATAATTCTATTATTATATATTTATTAATAGTGTTGTGATAGATTACTAAAGGAAATTAATTGACTGTTCTTTTTATTTACTTTTTTCATTCCTTTGATTATTTATTTTTTTTGATTATTATAAAAACTATTGTATTTATTTGTCAAATAATCTGGTTTCTACATATCTACTACAAGTCAAAATGTAATAATTTGTTTTTTATTTACAAGATGTGTTGGTTTTTTCAAAATACTATTGCTTATTATTAAAATGTTCAAATTCTTTATTTGTTACTTATAATTAAATATAATAAAAATTAATAATGAATATTAAGATGTCAATTTATTTTATTTTATTTCTTTGTCATACATTTTAAAGAATGCTATATAAAAATTAATATACTTTACAAATATTTATATATATAAACACACACACACACACACACTACATACAAAAATTAATTCCTATCTTGAAAATTATTATTTGCAATTATTTCCATTAATCGATTTCTTTTTACATTTCCTTCTTCTCTCAATTCATTAGTGATAGCTAACGGTTCCATTTCGTGTAGCATTTCAGGCACAACAACAGGGATTTCAATAGCATCATTTTTTAATAAACAAATGTTGTGTAATACACAACAACTAACTACGTAATATGGAATTAAATCTGTCCTTGTCATTGGCAACTTATCCAATAAATAACGCCATCGTCCTTTCAATAATCCGATTGCTCTTTCTATAATTGTTCGGGCAGATGACAAATTACGATTAAATTCTTTCTGTCTCCTAGTTAAATGACTATTATCATAGAATGGTACCATGACATTTTTTTGTATACTATACGCTGCATCGCCCAATAAATGACTGTCTTCAGGAAAAAATTCTGGAGTACAATATTGTTGTACACCAGAATAAAGAAACACTCGCATGTCATGCACACAACCTGGCATTCCAGCAAAGACATGAATGAAAGATAAATCATGTTTACAGATTACCTAGAAAGAAAATATAGTTATTCTTAACAAACAATTTGCTGTTTCTACATATTGTTCATTCAGTTTACATTAATAGAGTTTGTAATATTTACTATTTCTTAAAATTAGTATATTTAATTGAAAAAAATTTTATTTTTCCTTACTTGTAATTGCATAGAGAATCTGCCTTTTCTGTTAATGTAACTATTAGCATCTCTTTTTGGTCGAGCAATGTTTATATGTGTTCCATCAATGATACCTAGAACTTTTGGAAATCCATACAATCTCTGCATGTTTGTCCATGTTGTTTCAGCTTCTTCATAATTAGGCCATCTGATGAAACAATTTCGAAGGCTGTACAATGCTCGAACAACTCTTTTGACGGAAAACCATGCAGTTGATCTGGCAACACCAAATCTTTCACATATGGAGCGATAAGAATCTGGTGTTGCCAAAACATAAATAGCTATTAATAGCTGTTTTGTTGAATTAATTTGTTCTCTTCCTATGAATGGAAAGTTTTCTAATTGGGGTCCAATTAAATGTAATAAAAAATAAAAAGTATTACGCTCCATCCTGTAACAAATAACATGACATATATTATTATTAATATGAACGTGTGTTTTATATTAATAATGCTATAATTATAATAAAAATGACATGATTTACCTAAAATGTGATTTAAATTCAATATTTGTATATCTGGTAACAACATTTTCCAAATAATCTGTTATTTTTGGTACTATATTCCTTTCACCTCTATTGTTATTATCTCTATTTTCGAATAAAATATTTTGTAATTCTTCATTATCATCATCACTATCTGAAGAAGAACTACTCGAAGATTCAAAAATGATGTTTTCGAGTAAAATATATTGTTCCATAATAATAATTAATGTAATTGTAACACTTTCATATATTGTACATACGGTACAATACAATCCCAATGATCCCAGTGGGAGAAACGAAACGCAGCACTGGAAGTTTTCAATACTGCCAACTTTATCTTTTTTCCCAACACCAACCAAACATATTTTCGAACGCACACATTTTCGAACGCACACTAAAAGTTCTTTTCTAGTGCCAAGAACATTTCTTACCAACTTCAACATGTGACATGGATCAATAAGAAACACATAGACCTTGGTGTCATTAGATGGATGTTTGAACCATGTCTGAAAATTATTTGAATGTGTATCAAATTTGCAATCAAAAGTTTGGAACATTCTTACATTAGCCGATAAACCATCACACGTCAATGATACCACTAACATTCCAGCTTCATGCAATGCCATTAAACATTGTATTGTTAAATTTCGCTTTTGATCCATTGTTATACCGTTTATTAGATAGTAAGCAATAGGTAATTTCCAAGCTTGATTTATGCACACCACACAAAAAACCAACGCTTCTTTAGCCATTTTTGATGTATCGCATTCTACATGAGCACCATAATCTACATATCCTACGAATCTACCTTTATAATAATCGACATGCTGCCTTATTGCCATTTCGTCAAACATTAACACGCCCACCAATCTATACGAAACGGAATGTGCGCGTCGTTTAATAGCTTCTAAAGCCTCAGTATTAATACCAGACTCTCCATTAACTGAGTGGTACCATTTTGTTAATGTTTTCGGATGTGGCAACATATTATAAAATTTTTTTCGAACATAATTATATGCCTTTGGCGAATAATAGTGTAATGACAATGCAAATTGTCGCAAATTAGGCTTATATGTTTTAGATACAGGCAAATTTTTACGTTTTCTTACTTCACGCTGTATTAAATCTTGCATACTTGCATCCAAATATTGTAATATATCACTCTCTTCTTCAGTTAGTAGTTTCCGCTTCTGCACATCCTTTAATACATTTTTTAGTGTAAGCAACTTCTTCCGTATTGTTTTTTGTTTATATAGACTTGTAGATAACCTTCTTTTTAAAGTTTTAATTTTACTAGTGTACACCTTTCGAATTCCAGTTTTTATTGATGAGTTTATAATTCGGTCTGGAGATATACTGATGGAACGATGTATTTGATTAATGTTACATGAATGTGTACTCATTATATTATCTGATTCCATATTTGTTTCAATATTTTTGTCTGTAATAGACTGTAATACAATTATTGTAGTATTAATATTATTAATTTACTAACATAAGCAGATACATTCATTTGTACTAACCAGCAACGTTATTATTTTTTTCAATAGTAGTGTTTTCTTGAATAGTGTTTTGATGATGTAAATCAATTTGAATTGCAGGCTGAATTTCCGTTTCGAGTAACTAAAAAAGAAATTTATTAGTTGTTATATCTTACAATAAATATATTTAATAACTAAAATATTGATGTAATATATGTATATATACACACATATGGAACAGCATCTTTTCTTAACTTGCGATTTGTATGATTTGGTTCATAATCTGTATTTTTAAAATGAGCAGAACAAACTGCGGCTGATTTTACTGGTTCATAATTTTCTAAGTGTTTTTTTGTTAAATTTTGCGAGTGATAAAACGTTGATTTTATTAGATGTAATTTATTGAGTGCTGCGATGGAGGGCAACACCTCGAACGAAAATACCGCCCTTTCTCTAATAATTAATTAAATGTGGTCTTGAGATTGGTGTCACAATAAATGAACGATAATAAGTTAACTAAATTTACTTTAGATTTTACACGCAGTTCTAATATAATATAAATTTAATATGATAAAGTATTATACACTATGCTCGGTAATGACTAATGAAAGTTGTGTGCTTCGAGAGGCGTATCGACACATACAGTCTTGATTTTTGGTCTTCTCTTAGAGAATTTCGCGAGTTTCTCCCACCTTGTAGGTGGTGAACGAGAGCTAACATATGAGCACTGCGCGCTATCTCTCGCACGTTCCCTAATTCTACAATACAGTCAACACTAAGTGTAAAGCTTTAAGCCACTTCTTGCGTCTCTCCAGATTTTTGGGAAATCTAAAATATATAATATTGTTTATAAGTACATTAAAATATTAACTAATACAAATATTACAAATTTTTTATTAACATAATCTATATTTAAAATATTTTACATACAAATGAAATGAAATTTTCCGGTTTAAAGCACTTTCCACTTCTAATTGATCAACATTTTTTTTTGTACATCGATTTTTGCACTTAAACGCAACGCAAAAGCTCATTTTTTTGCAATATATTATACACTCTTAAGTATCCACAATCCACAGGTATCCACTAACCTTTCACATATCTATGCCACTAACAGACACAATATACATATGGCAGCCGTAGTTTGTAAGCCGAATATTGTCGAGTCTTAGCGGAATGAACCGATGTCAAGTAAGTCCTCCCCGCCCGACAAACAGATCCCCCCTTGCCCATAATAGCAGCTCATGCTCGGTCTATACTTTCATATGTCTATGGTACGACACACTTTGGATAACCTATGAAAAACGATTTATGCAATATTTTATTGTGTCTTGTGTGCATTGTGCATTGTGTAAAAACTTCTCTTGGACGAAATAAACTTATAGAGTAGTAGCAGGCAATAACACTTAAATTAAAGATAAGTCCTATTATATAATACATCCTATATTATTTCATTAACTTTTCATTGTGGTATAGGTTAAGAATCGTTACAACGTATTTTTTCTTTATGTTAATTAATTTCTTAATTTCAAAATATATATGCATTGTTTAACATTTTTTGTTTTTTAGGTAATAACTATTTCATTACAATGGAATCAATAAACTTCATGGTATTTTTTATCCATTTATTTTAAGTTTTGTGTCTTGTTGAATGAAAATCAAAATGTCAAATAAAAAAAGTCAAAGAGAAAAATTGTGTCGTAAAATTAACGAAAGACTCAATTTATCATTAGCAATGATTAGTGAAACTAATCAATTAACAGATCATGAAACAATCTCAGATCAGAAATGTGAAAAAATACAGGAAAATAGTGATAATGAAATTATTATTGATAATAATGATAACAATGATTTTCAAAATGATAACAATGATTTTCAAAATAACAATAACATTTTATTAAATAGTAAAGATAATAATTTGAAATTGAATGATTATTCTTCTCTTGCAATTAGAGATTTACAAGAACATAATAATACTAGTATTTCACTTCCATTATTTACAAAGTCTAAGGAATCTCTTACTACAAAATTAGGAAAATGGTCCATTGATAGAAATATTAGCCTAACTGCATTTAAAGAATTATTAAACATACTTCGTGAAGAACCATCTTTGACTAATATCTTACCAGCTGATCCACGTTCAATTTTAAAAACACCTCGCAAATCTAATTTTTTAAACAATTCATTTCATTATTTTGGTATACGCAACTCATTAAATTCTTCAACTTTAAAACATAATATAATTGTTGATGAAAGCACAGAATTTTGTCTCGCAATTAATATTGATGGACTGCCTTTAACAAAAAGCACATCAAGTTCTTTTTGGCCAATTTTGGGTACAGTAAAATCAATTAAAAAGTTGAAAAATCAAGTATTTATAATAGCTTTACATTATGGAAGTGAAAAATCTAAAACTAGTGAATTTTTAAAAAATTTTGAAGAATGTATAGAACTATCAAATGGAATAATGATACAATCTGTGTTATGTAAATTCAAAATTTCAATGTTAATTTGTGATACCCCAGCTAAGTCTCATATTTTATCTGTTAAGAGCCATTCAGGTTATTTTTCATATACAAAGTGTACTGAAGAAGGTGACATGGTTAACAATGTTTTATGCTTTGATAAAATTGAAAATTATGAAAAAAGAACAGATCATTCATTTAGAAATACTCTTCAAGTCGGACATCATACAGGAGAAACACTTTGGCTTCAAATTCCCAAATTTAATATGATTGACAATGTACCTTTAGATTATATGCATATTCTTTTACTAGGTGCAACAAAAAGGTTGTTATGCTGTAAGCGTTATGGATGGATATTTGGCAAGCCTCCTCATAAATTACGTGCTTCAAGTATTAATAAAATTAGCAACAATCTTCAGCTGTTAAAAAAATATATTCCTTGTGAATTTGCAAGAAAAACTCGGCCAATAAATGAATGTAAAAGATTTAAAGCAACCGAGTTTAGACTTTTTTTATTATACACAAGTCCAATAGTTTTGAAGAAAATAATACCATTGAAAGAGTATAATAATTTTCTTATGCTAAGTTTAGCAAGCTCGATATTGATAAGTAAACACTATGTAAAATTTGAGAATTATATTTCTTATGCCGAAGATCTAATGAAACATTTTATTAAGAATTCTATTACAATTTATGGACCTGATTTCATTTCACACAATATACATAGTTTATTGCATTTAAGTGATTGTGTGCGCCTGTTTGGTTCACTTGATGAATTTAGTGCCTTTCCATTTGAAAATTACATGCAGAAGATAAAAAAGAATATTTTCATTACGTAGCTTTACAATACACGTACAGAAAATTTATGCATTAAAAATGTAATGTTATGTATAACAACACACATAATATATATATATAATATATATATATATATAATATATAAATATATAAATATACAAAATATATAAATATATAATATATATATATATATATATATATAAATATATATACTTATTAAAATAAAAATATATATTCAAAATTACTAAGTTTAAAAATACGCATTGTATTTTTTTCAAACCTTTCATTCCCAGCATTCAACACAAAAAGATCCCCTGAATGTACACAAGATATACGAAAACGAATTAGTATCTTCATATATACGTAGATTACACTGATATACATAGCACATGCATGTGATGGACAGTGTACATTTTTCTATATACAAAAATGTATGTCCACGGTGGATGCGCAATGAATGTACCTAGTACATATATATAACGTACAATATATGTTCTTCAAATGTATATAGGATGTGCGATAATATGGATATGCGAAATTGTATGTTTCATGTATATACATTGGATATACAAATGGATATATAATGGATCCACCTGAGATGTACGGCACATTGCTTTTGAACATCTATACGATCTGCAATGGATATCTTTCAGAAGTATTATGATGTATACAGGATATCCAGAATCCGTTTTCGTATATCCTGTGTACATTCAGGGGATCTGATTCGCCTCTCAATTCCGTCGAATTAAAAGATTAGAATTCAAAACCTAATCTCGTCAAATCAGACAGAAGGGTTCCTTCCGGAAAGTTTTATATCCGCTTTAAGGTTTAAAGCTAAATTTCTCTTTTATTTACTGGAAAATTTCACTTCGCGGAAATTTCGTCAAGTAGTTATCACGAACATAAAATTTGACTCTTTTTATAACTACTACTTGGAAATTATCAAATATAAAGATACTATCGAAAACCCTTCATCGAAACCAGTAGATCTGATAACTCAACTAAAATATCAGTTACCAGTAAACCAGTATGAGATAGAGAACTACTTATAGACTCTCTAATGAAACCCTCGTGCGACGATAAAGATTTTTTCACCCTAACAACCATCGAGCAAACTCGAATTCTTGATATACTCTTGGAATTTATAGACTAATATATCAGATATCACAGATGATATCGATATCGATATCGATATCGATCTAATGGATTTAATAGAGAATTTCGAAATTCCATTTTAATAGAGACTCTTACATGTATTTATAAATCAATAATCCTATTAGAGTTTCGCGGCTTTCTCAATTTTCCGTAATCAACAAGTCAGATCCTTGCTCTCGGCATAATATTACTACGTAATGCGTTACTCGAAACCCTACAACTTTTGTAGGAAACATTTTTGTCTACCGTTCTCGGTTTTTGAGATATTCGGCTGACACGGGTGGTCTGATACACCCTGTATGTATATATATATATATATATATATATATATATATATATATATATATTAGTTAGATGATGATTGTGTTAAAAATATTTATAAACAAAACAAATAAAAAATCTGTATATTAAATAATGATTGTGACACATTACTTTGATACACATAATTTATTATTATTAAAAGAACAATTCTTAAAAAATTAATAGAAACAATTATATTATCGTCATATATTATCATTATATCTCATATCTCATTATTTTAATTACTTTTTTATGTACAGATTATAATAATATTACATTGGAAGATAAAAAAAAGTTGGATAAATCTCAAACACCTTTGAAAAACTATAATATTGTTAGGAGTTCATCTACAAAATGCATTTGAGAACACAGAGCAATACTCCAACAGTATCTTATCACATGAATAGCAAGAAATCTTTAAATAAAAGTGAAATAAATGAAAATAAAAATCTAGATGAAGGTAAATTATTAATCAAATAACAATAATTTTTTTGTACTTTTCACATCTAAATATCTAATTGGTAATACTTAGTTTAGAAGATTAATAATTCGCAATAAAAAAGATAGAATTTTGTTAATAATTTTATATATTATATAAAATAGAAAACATTTGCAACATCAGAATATACACATGTACGAATATATATTAGTGATATATATGATATATATTATATGTGCGCCTTTTAGCTTATTTTTGTTATATAACATTATAAATAGATTTCTATCTTGAATTTTGTCTGAAATTATAAATATTAATTATTCTAAATTAAATATAGAAAGTATTTCTCTAGAAAATATATATGATAATGTCATAGATGAAAATATTAATGTCAAAAATGTATTTGATAAAGTTGCAAATAATGGATCTACAATTATTAGTAATGTTCCATTTTCTACTACTCTATTGGTATTACCAGCTAACAGCATAAAAGAAACCTCTTTGAATGAAAGGTAAATAAAAAATTTTGTATTATTTATTAATAATAATAATCCAAGCAAATTATATAATTCAAAAACACATAATACAAAAAGCAAGAATGCGATACATGCAATTTCTTATAGTTTTTTTAATTCTGAATGCCAGGTTCAAAAATATTCTATTATTTTTTGTTATTAATTTTGAAAAATTCAAGATTAAAGTTATAAAAGAAGTTATGTTGATGCACTTTACCGTGTTATAAGATGCAGTAATAACTATGTTATGACTATGTTATGTTATAACTCTATGATATATGATGTTATAACTATTATGTTAGGAAAGTTCTCTTTCATAAAGTAATTAAATTAATATTATAAAAATTTTATTAACAATAACAAACATAAAAGATTCATTTTGAAAGTTGAAAGTCCTATAATATACTAACCCAGATAGCCAAGCTTGATATGACATATTTAGCAAACAAATGCATTGCATGTATTATTATATATTTACAGTA